ACAGGTCCCCGTTTCCACAAAGCGATCGTAGCTCTACAACTATCGTAAGCCTATGTTAAGGTATGGGAGTTACGATCATCTTTGCACTACGATCGCTTTGTGGGGTGGTTCCACCAGGTATTCAGTGAGTGAGTGAGTTTGATTTTTCGCCTCTTTTAACAATATTCCAGCAATATCACGACAGGGCACACCGGAATTGGGATTCATACATTGTACCCATGTCGGGAATTGAACCCGGGTCTTCGGCGTGACGAGCAAACGCTTTGACCACGAGGCTATCCGACCGCGACCAACAGATATTGACTTACACTGTTGATAATTTAACTGTGACATGGGTACAACGTTACGAAGACACGTACCTGTTGATCGTCCCATTTCTGACAGTTACTATACTGAAACTGTGTCTGTATATCCCCAGTTACAATCCTTGTAGTATAGAAAATTGCTTCTTTTCTTTGCATATGCACACATATTTCTCTTATTCATAAAATAAACTTCTTATTTGACATCACCTAACAATTTTGTTAGCTTTTACTTCGCTTTCCAGCTTCTCCTTACTCATTTCTGTTGTGATTATACAAACACTTGGTGGTGCGATACTTTTGGCGAGGTGTATATAATTCACCGTGAAGAGTACATCTTTTTAATATAGCATCAAGGACTATTTTGGCATAATCTGCTCATTCGAATGGGGACGTCGGTAGCACTGTGCAACTGTACTCTGCAACGTCTACTCTTCTCCCTACAGACACAACTATTTTCACAAAACACCAGCGATGGATAGACACACAACGCATGCATCTTAAAACTGTGTTATTGACATGTTTATACGTATTTAGAGTATACGTATACGGTGCAAGCAGCGTGGCATCAAAGTGAGTGAGTGAGTGAGTGAGTTTGATTTTACACCGCTTTTAGCAATTTTCCTGCAATATCACGGCAGGGGGCACCAGAAATGAGCTACACACATTGTACCCATGTCGGGAATCGAAGCCGGGTCTTCGGCATGACGACCGAACGCTTTAACTGCTAGGCTACCGCACCGTATCCATAAATGTTCAGGGCATCAGTGATGAACAAAACATCATACAACACTCATCGCCGCATCTGAATTTGAACTTCGTGCTGTAAATGGGAGTAGCGCCATTTCGACCAAGTGGACATTACGTTGACATGTCGTCCTCGGGTCAACCAGTGTAATTTCTCGTCCCGAATCTTTCGTGGTGACTCGTGCTGTGCTGACGCATGTGAAATGACATAGCAAACATGACATGATTTGATCGTTTCGATTGCGGGCTCCCCTTACATACAATGAACCAAGTTTGAAGCTAGATTTTCCGCAGAATGCAGATATTTCTGACTAGGTGACTCACCTTTTTGCGCACACACTATTTGATAGTGATTCATAAACACAAGCATGCCTATCATATAGTAGGAACCTACGATTGACGATGGAGATTTCTTATGGCAATGTTTTTGTTGCTTTATGCTGACGGGGAGGTCGAGTAGTCAAGTGATTAAAGCGTTCGCTCGTCACGCCGAAGACCCGACATGGGTACAATGTGTGAAGCCTATTTCTGGTGCCCCCCCCCCCCCCCCCCAGTGATATTGCTGAAAAATTGCTAAAAGCGGCATAAAACCATACTCACTCACTCACTTTATATTGACAGTAACACATTGAAAACACTTTATTTCCTAATTGCTCTTTATTCCCATGAGACCCGTGAAGATCCGGGGTAGAACAGGTCTTCAGCAACCCATGCTTGACGTAAAAGGTGACTATGCTTGTCGTAAGAGGCGACTAACGGGATCGGGTGGTCAGGTTCGCTGACTTGGTTGATGCATGTCATCGATCCCAATTGCGTGGATGGATGCTCATGATATTAATCACTGGATTGTCTGGTCCAGACTCGATTATTTACAGACCGCCGTCACATAGCTGGAATATTGCTGAGTGCGGCATTAAACAACCAACCAACCAACCAACCAATACATCTATGACAAGTCACACTGCGTTGATATCGAACACAAGAGTACCGAGAAACCTTCCAGGACGAGTTGTCGCCCTTGAATTAAATGTTAACCACAAACCATCACAGATTAAGTTGGAAGTAATATGATATGCACTCAAAGTGAAGATATAAGATGGTTTCAGTTTAAGTTTATTCATTACATTCTTACAACTAACAAATATGTATATAAAATTGGATATGTTGACACTCCTTTGTGTACTTTCTGTACAAATCAACCGGAAACTATAATCCGTATGTTATATGAGTGTGAACATGTAAGAAAGATTTGGGAGAAATATACCTTTGGATAAAAACCGTTGTGGAAGGAACCATTGATTTAAACAGGGAAAATGTTTTGTTTGGATTTCAAGGCGAACACAACAACCCATTGAATATTGTACTTTTAAAACAAGTAATATACAGACAATGTAGGAAAAGATTAATCCCACATTTTGAACACATATAACACTGTTTTAGTGTCTGGCCTTTCTTCCACACTTTGTATGAAACCCAGTCTGTAAAACACATTGATACAGTATTTTATATGTATCACGGTACTATGTAAGAATTTATAGGTATGAAAAGGTGTACACTTCTTGAATACCATGTCCAACAATTTTATTGACATGACATGTATATATATGCTGTACCTCCTAATTAAGATGAATACAGAAGGAAGGAGAATTATATGCATAAAAAATGTAATATGCATGAAATGAATTTCGGAAAATTCAATTTCATGTAATTTTGCAACATCGCTGTAAATATAAAACAACAGGACGTGTAATATATCAGTGTAAATATATATTTTTTATGGAAACGTGCTTAAATGTGTTAAACATTTTCAGAAACCATTTGGGTCCATTCATAGCTCAATTAAACGCAGTTGACGAATAGAAGAATTTTGTTAGACGTGATTCGAAAACAATCATATGATTGATAAGAACATAATCATACTTATATTTGTCTTTGAGCTAACGGTATGAAATTTTGCAGGTTTAGTTATGATGTGTGGATTACTTAGTTTTATTGTACATAAACTGTAAGAAAGACTTGCTGAACTATTGCTGCTTTGTATGTCTATAACTATCTTTCTATTTAGTTCACATAATACACGTATGTCTAGAGAGCATGTATTTAAACTGGAAATAAAAACATCGCTTTTACTGCGTTCTTGTTCAGTTTAGTTGACTCTTAACATTAATACTGTTGCACTGTTTTCATGATGTTATTTATCTCGGGTACATACAGATCCGAAGCCAATACGTTCATTGATGGAAGAATGCATAAAAGACAAACACAAGACGGTTCGTAGTCAGTACACGGTGTCGGAGTGGAGCATGGTATCTCAGTGGGCTAGCAATGTAAAACCGGCATTACTCGGGACTGGTACCAGCAGTCACACATACACGTGCATGCACGTCGCTCTGTAAATGATATTATTGAAGCCGGCGTTTATCCCCACCTCACCTCACCCCACCTTAATGAGAGATGAAACCATGCCTGTTTCGACAGAGAACACCTATATACACTTGGAAAGTGGACTTGACCAATTAATTACAAACGTTATCAAAACGTTACTAGGCTGTGAACATTGTAAACTTAAGGCCTAAAACACAACTATGATCACCGTATCAAAACCAGCACCATCGAATAACCATTTCTTGTTTCATTTTAAGTCACCATGAAACATCGGTGCATACTTTCTTTTGCCCGGCATTGTATGTTGCCACGAAAATACAAAGAACAAAAACACAAAGAAAAAATCCAACTCTAAAAATATATCATATGGAAAGCTAATTATATCCTAAAGGATACTTGATTTCCGCAAAAGGAAAGTGGCCTCCATTGTGTCACACGGAACTCGTTGAATTTGCGGCTAAACCTGCAAAACTTCAGAAAATATATCATATATCTCTCGCCCTCTCTGATCTGTCTCTCTGACTGTCTGTCCCTCTCTGTGTCTGTATGTTGACGTTAAACCTCATTCCACCTTGCCTCGTATGTATGTATGTACATGTATGTATGTATGTATGTATGTATGTATGTATGTATGTATGTACATGTATGTATGTACATGTATGTATGTATGTATGTATGTATGTATGTATGTATGTATGTATGTATGTATGTATGTATGTATGTATGTATGTACATGTATGTATGTATGTATGTATGTATGTATGTATGTATGTATGTATGTATGTATGTACATGTATGTATGTATGTATGTATGTATGTATGTATGTATGTATGTATGTATGTATGTATGTATGTATGTGGGGGGATGGGTGACGTGTGTGTGTGTGTGTGTGGGGGGGGGGGGTATGAGTGTGGGTGTGGGTGGGTGTGGGTTAAGGTTGTTGGTGTATGTGGGTGGGTGTAGGCGTGTGTGTGATTAAACAAGTTTGAAATTATTATTGTTTAATTTATGTCTTTTCCGTATTTTATGCAACTTAAAAGCTTTGCATATTTGCAACACTATCATAGCACGGTTTAGTTTACTTAATAAGTATTCTTTAAGAACGCTTCTTAGATATCAGCCGTTTCATGTTAACATGAGCTTGTTGGCATCCATCACTAAATAATTATTATTTGGATTGTTTTGTAGTATCGCTGTGCGGCATCAGGCAACAAACAAACACTTACGTGTAAATACAAATTGTAGGAGTGACGGGTGCTACCGATAGGGCAGGCCATGCAACCCATTTACTTAGTCGTCTCAGGCTGTGCAGAGTTGCGTCCCCTGGGCACGACAGAAAACTATGATCGTGGGCTTGAATTCGGTTCGCCCGAACAAATGTTTCTACATTTATCAATACCATACTTGTGATAGTGGGTTTCACCGCAGTGGTGGACCTGATGTCGATGTCTGAGTACCATGTAGTCCAACCTTAATATCTAGAAGACTGATGATACACACATGATTTCAGACATTCGAGATAAACGTGTATACCCATTATAATACATATGTATCAACTGGGATCCCTAGCGTGGCAGTGTTGATTCAACTGTATTCATTAACAGAATAGTACTGTTGAATCCTGTCGTTATTATTCAACTGATTTAATTATGACCATGACCCCATACACGGAAGTATTGATACGGGTTTTTACAGTCAAAAGTCTCAAACAGAAAACTGTACGTAACATGCGGCAAACGAAACCGAGTGTAGAACATCGCGTTAATGCATTGCTCGTATCAGGAAGTAAATGAACGGCGAGGGTGGCGAGAAGGAAACATGACTAACGGGACGTAGGGAAGAATGACTCGAAACATCGCCGGACGACCTGTACATTTAGTGTCCCTAACTAGCGGAATTATTATGTGCCTTGCCAGATATTAATTCGGGAAAACTTTTCACAATGGACGGTTCAGTTCGCCTGTTGATGTACACAGCATTACTCGTGAGTATATGGTTTCTTTAGTTTCTATAGCCATGACATGATTCTTGGTGTCGGGGGCACGACAAGGCGCGATATTGACTCGTATTCTGTTTACCGAGCTTGCTTCCTTATCAGTAGGCCACTCAACATACTTAACATGGCTACGATGTATTCACTGTTGTAATTTGGGTTGCTGTTTTCGTAAAAGTTTTACTAATGGACCATATTACGTCGAGATACATTCACTATGTATTGATAAAGTATAATTTGTTTTGTTTCACTTTTTATAGTGTCATTCACACAGCATGCACCGAATCACTAATTAAGAAAAATAATACATAATAGAATGATTGTTGTTCTCATATCACTAAAACGTAAGTGTCTTTAGCATAACGCAAAAGACTTCACTTGCTTGTATGTGACATATGTAAGTGACATTCCTCAGTTACACATGTATATTAACGCACAGATTTACTAGCTTGATCGGTAATCAGTATGCCTGATTAATGTGCCAAAGCGTGTCACAGCCTAAGGCTAAACCACACAGATGTATGTGGGGACATCATTATTTCATTGGTGTTGACAGGAGGCGCGACATATGCGTCAGTGATGACCAAGCTTACTTTCAATTTTCGCGAAGACCTCGTGTCATCGCTTACTTTCATATAATGTTCACAGCTATTTTGCCTTGTGAATTTTGCTTGTCAGAAAATCGAAACTGAATATTCTCTAGCGTTGACGTTTCCTGTTTAAATATGATTGGGGTACATAGGACAGACAGATTGCATACACATATCGAGCTGATAAACTATGTTGCTATACCAGTACGTATCGCATTCATCTGCATTGTATATACTTATAACCGCTAAGCACACTGCATTTACTTCTGTAATATAATATATTGATTTTGTCAGACGGACAAATAGGTAACTTTTCATCGTAGGCAAGTGCCATATATGATAACACTCGTTGATATTTTGTTTGTTATTTCTGCATTATTGTGCACACGCTTATTCAAGTGTTAAATGTACCAATGATTTAGTGCCGGAATACACTATTTGTCCCTGTTGAACCATGAAAGGAGGGAACTGATTTATAGTTTATCTCGTTGATACAGTCTATAGATTTACACAAATTACTTCCTGTACTACATCGGGGCGGCGTGTCTGCTGTTGTTAAGCCATGAATGCACGGTGGGCTTCATGAGCGCTTGGCCTCACTACATGCATATTGTGTTGACTTAAATAATCTGAAAATAATACCCGGTTATCTGAGGAAGATTAACATTTTGTGAAACTGTACAAACCCGTGAAGATCTGGGGTGGTATAGGCCTTCAACAAATCATGCTTGTCGTAAAAGCCATCTATGCTTGTCGTAAGAGGCGACTAACGTGATCCGGAGGTCAGGCTCGCTGACTCGGTTGATGCATGTCATCGTATCCCAATTTCGTGGATCGATGCTCATGATGTCAATCACTGACCAGCGTCAAATAGCTGGAATATTAAACAACAATATTAAACAAACAAACTGAAACTGTACATTCGTGATTTTTGTAATGTAATCTCCGACAGAAACCACAATTGTATGTTGACACGATCATAAAGTTCATGTCGTAGTATTGCTTACGAAGATAAACATTAAACGTTAACGATGATAATACAGACATAAGGCCAGTTTGGAGAAAACGCTTTGGCTATATATACGAGTGGTGATTGTTATGTTCCGAGCCTCACATTGAAAGACGTTGGCTAAAGGTGAGGTGAGGTAAAATGGGGTTTAACGTCGCGTTATTATTGCACTTATATAGCGACGTGCATGTACGTGTGTGTGTTTGTGTGGCTGCTTGTACTAGTCCGGACTGATGCCGATTTATAGTGCTAGCTCACTGAGATACCATGCCGCAGTTTAACATGAATACCCCACTCAGACACAGTATACTGACTCCGAGCCGACCAGTCCTTGTTTTAGCCCCTTAATGCCGAGTGCCAGACAGGGTAACAACAAGTACCATCTTTTAACGTCATTTTGTATGACGCGGTCGGGGATCGAACCCCGGACCTTCCGCTCTCCGGGCGGAGGCTCTACCACTAGACCATGGAGGCGGTCCGTGGGCTTAAGACATGAAAATAATTTTTATATATAATTAAGTGTGAAAGTTTTTTTAAGTTGAGTGAGTGCGTGAGTGTGTGAGTTGGGTTTAATGCCGCTTTAAACAGTATTACAGTTATATCGCGGCGTGTCAGCTTTATGTGGGAGGAAAGCCCCAAGTGATGCAGGTCTCAGACGTTTACCATTTCGATGAAACCCACGAGCACGGGTATGGTGCTGACTAACCTAGAAACATAATCGGGGCGAGCCGGGATTCGAACCCACAATCATAGGTTTCTGGCGTGCCCAAGGGACGCAACTCTGCACATCGACTCGCGCCGCCTTAGACGACTGGGCCACCCGTGCCCCCTGAAGTTGAGAAAAGTGATATTTTCATTGCAGTGAACATAACACTTGATATTTCACTACAGCAAACATAACACTTTGACGGAACTATTGTCATACAACTTGAAGAATAACCTCCCCTGAAATGATCTCCCTTTATCGTAAGTGTCTAACCTGTACACAAACTGATGACGTCCTTGTTACGTTAGTATCACATTGACATGGCAAAATATGGTTATTTGTGGAGTTAATATCACTTCTTTTCGTTTCTTATTCTCTAGAAAATATTTCGTGATAAACTGTAAATGTCTCATATAATCGGGACTTGGTTTCGCAAAGCGCCATTTTTGTTACTTGACCAGCGTGTTTCTTTCACTTCCAACAGCTGTCTTGAAGTTTTCAAGAATATTTTTGGTTAAAGTTGATTTTGTATATAATCATATCTGTATGTATGATAAAGAATTTTTCGTGAATCTAAATATTTCTTGATATTTTTGTTAAGATTTTTAAAGATGTTGTAAACACGAAACTCCTTTTTAAGTCGCAGATACAAGGGGTGGTGAACCGTCCTTGTGTGTTAGGTAGGGATAATTTACGTTTCAAGGTTTTACATTTGTAATGAGACAATTTTTCAAAACGTATGTAAAAAATTGGATATTCCATATGTCTCGTGAAATATCATGTTTCTCTCACCGTGTGACGAGGAAAAGGAGATATTCTTCAAGCTTATCCCCTTCCACATTGATACACAACGGTTTTGGACAGATTGTATCCCGGTTTCTTTGAATTCCTTCTTTTGGTATCCAAAAAGTTCTCCACAGCTGCTATGAAACCATCGTAAAAGTTGAAAAAGGTTCCGGCTTGAGCTGTCGTCATGTTCGGGAAAAAAGATGGCTGGCTGACGGAGCCAGATCAGGAGAATATGGCACATTGTCCTGATGGAAGAGAGCACACTTCATTTCAACTTAGTCTGTTAGTCCTGTCTTCATCCCGTAAGTGATATGCTCCGTTTATTGTCTGATCTTTTGGAAGATAGCCTAAACATGATGACAACCTCGGCATCCCAGAACACGGAGACTATAACCTTTCCAGCTGATGGGACATTCTTTACCGTCCTTTGAGGCGGAGATGTCAAATGCTTCCACTGTATTGATTCTTGTTTGGGCTGGACGCGGTGAATCCAGGTATTATCTCCAGCCACAAATTGTTGCAAGAATAGCTCTACATCAGCTTCAAACAGTGCTCCTTCACGTAAGTGACGTAGCCGTATGATACGTGGTCGACCGGAGATTAAAAGGTCACGTGTTGTTTCGTTTGTCTTATAATGGTTTCACAGTCTTGTAATGGTGCTTGGTGCTACATGGAAAAAACTGGCTACAGCTAAAGATTATTCCCCTGTTTGCAGTGGGCCGATGGAGTTGTTGCGTTGGGCTTCCATTAGTCGTGGCATGTTTTCGCTGATGACAAATTACTGGTAATTTTTGGTATTAATTTTGTAAGGCAACACTCTGTCAGATATTGCTTGTCATCGTATCCCGACGAGTTGTCAACAACCAACCAACCAGCCAGCCAACCAACCAACCAACCAACAAACCAACCAACCAACCAAACAAACAAACAAACAAGCGAGTGTGTGTGGATAGATAAGGAATAGTCTTCACACACTTTAACAGAGAAAGACTCGAACACTTCAACCGCTCGGTTACATCACCACCTCGAGACATAAAGATGACCCAACTGTTGGGTTACAATAGGACACAATCCCCTCATTGTATCAACTCCCAACATGTGGCTATTACAGTGCTGGTGATGTAACGCCTAGTGGTTCCTTCCTGTTGGTAGGCACACATAATCACAAGGCAGGCAATTGTGAATTATACAACTATAACGTTTGACAGGGTTATGTCGGTGGACAAAAGCTACATATAGAATCAAAGTAAAGTTTATAAGAACACCGCGAACACCGCAGCATAACATCAACCGAGCACTTCGTGGAAAATTCCGTGTTTCATTATGTCCCGAGTAAAACTTACGAGGGGCGTTCAATAAGTTTTGCAACTTGGGCATTTGTGTTTACACAAACAATGTCAACTTGTGGCAGGTGTGATACTAGTCATAACATCAGGTTGACACGTGTCATATCAAGATCCAGACACAACAATAAGTAAGATGTGATGGCTCCATTCACCTAAGGGTGGTCACAATCATGGATTCTCTCAAACATGAACAACGCGCTGTAATAAAGTTCCTTACCAAGGAAGTATGCAAAGCAAAAGAAATGCATGATCACAAGAAATGCATGATCACATGTGTAAAGTGATGGGTAAGGATGATCCTGACTATTCCACAGTTTGTTGTTGGTCTCTACAGTTTAAAGGGGGTAGGGAGTCCATAGAAGATGACCCAAGGTCAGGCAGGCCTTCAGATGCCACCCAACCGGAAACCATTGTTGCTATAGAAAGAAGAATTTTGTCTGACCGACAAGTGAAAGTATCTGAACTTTCTAGGGAGTTCAAAATATCAGTTGGAACTGTTGTAACCATTATTCATGAGCCTCTTGGTATGTCCAAGGTATCGGCAAGATGGG